GCTAACTGCAAATGTTTCAATTTGATACTTAGCACGTGTGTGTCCTTGAAATAAACAATGTGCTACTCAACACAAAGCCAAAATGTAATAGAAGATGCGCTAGTCTCCCTACTTTAAAAATCATGCTGAATAAAAATCACTAGCTTTTACAGAAAGATTGCTATTCTAGATTTTGTGTGTTTGTGTTTTTAACTAGTCCCCTGTTTTTCCCTACTCTGGACACTACTAGAGTTGAGTAGCCCCTCCATTCAATACAGATAGAAAGAATATTTGTTGCCTAAGTATTCAAGCTCTTAAAGCTGTTCCTAAATATAGTATTGTAAGGGGAGCCATTTATTTGAACTGCTACATTATTCTGACACAGAAAATAAAGGCACACAAGTTCGTTTCTTAAGCTGAGGATTAAAAAAATTCTGCAGTTTGTTGGAGAAAGTTAATGTTTTTCTTGTGGAAAACTTCCTTTTTGGTAGTTGAAATATTCATGTTAAATAAACACAGACCTGGAGACGAGTTCAGGACTTAAACATAATGTACAGAGAACGACAAAAGCTTCCTTGTGTTTCAAGCCAGCATTTGCAAGCAAGCTTTTAAGTTCATTGCTTGTGTCCAAGTGCAGTTTCAGACTAAAGATGATATGAAAGTGAAATTGATTTTTGACCACTGGGAAAATAATGGGGTTTGTACTATGTGTGTCTGAAATGGTTGTGATTGTTCAGGACACATAAGTATAGTTCTACCATTTTGCATCTGCCCAGTATTGTAAAGTTTGTACCAAGTCGTATGAGAAGCGCTAGCTGCTGTGCAAGCCGACTGCACATGTTAACATGTTCCCCTGTTGTTTGGGATTACAGTTGCTATCATTCCCTAATGATGGGTCCTGCTGTTTGGGACTGATAAAGAATTGGTGTCCAAAATGCAATGGGAGAATGCCATATTGCATACAGCTCTTGTAACTGCCACAGGAGTCCCTGTAGGCTGTTGCATACTGACATATGAAGACCACGTGCAAAAGAGAGTGTCCATAGTTTTAGAAGTCAGCATACATGTGAGATGCTGGTTTCCATGGAACTCTCCTTGGAGCATATTATTATTGATAAAGAATTGGTGTCCAAAATGCAATGGGAGAATGCCATATTGCATACAGCTCTTGTAACTGCCACAGGAGTCCCTGTAGGCTGTTGCATACTGACATATGAAGACCACGTGCAAAAGAGAGTGTCCATAGTTTTAGAAGTCAGCATACATGTGAGATGCTGGTTTCCATGGAACTCTCCTTGGAGCATATTATTATTATTATTATCATCAGGCACAGTCAACATTATAAACACATTGACTGGTATTATATAACAGATACAAGTTTTAACCAAAAACCTAAGTACAGTATCTGTTAAATATCGGTGCAGTATGTATGCTGTTCCTAATATTGCCATTTTTTGTGGCTCTGATTTCTGACATCTGCAACTGCTATAGTACTGTATGTTCTTCATATTGTTCCCAAAGCCCCAGTGACTGCAGGGACCACTGAAGTGTGTTTCTTCCAGAGGCAAGATGTTTTGATGGCCAGGTCTCTGTAATTTGTTAGTTTTTCTCATTCTTTATTTTCAACTCTGGAATCCTCTGGAATTGCAATGTCAGGGATCCAGACCTTTTTTTGTTTGTTTGTTCTATTACTACTATGCCTGGTGTGTTATGTTCAAGGTGTCTATCAGTTTGGATCTGGAAATCCTACAAGATCTTTACTTCCTCCTTTTCTAACCTCTACCTGATGTTTCCATGGGTTTTTGAAATCCGGCAAGTTATATTTTTTTGCATAATGACCAGTGCACTAATTTTGCCACTCTTATGTCTAGCTTTGTAATCTGTTTGTGCAGTCTTTGGGCTTTTGCAGATGAAGTGTGACACAGTTTCATCTTTTTCTTGGCAGAGTCGGCATTTGCTGTTAGCACTAATTCGATCTTAGCTTTCATCACATTGGTTTGGAGTGCTTGTTCTTGTGCAGCAAAAATCAAGCCTTCGGTTTCTTTCTTAAGGGTCCCCAGTTTTAGTCATGCCCATGTTGAATTATGATCATGCTTTCCATCAATATTTCTCAGATGTTGTCCACATAGTGGTTTATTTTTCTAGCTGTTTAATTTATTTTCAAATTGTTGTTTCCTATATTGAGCCTTTGTTTCTGTTGTTTTCAAAATATTCTCCATTTTCACTGCTTTAGGTAATTTTTCTCTGCTTGTACTGATATAATCATTTAGGCTTCTCTTTTCCTCCTCTACTACCTGCTGTATTTGCAGTAATCCATGACCTCTGATTTTTCATTGTAAATATAATCTGTCCACATCACTTTTTGGATGTAGTGTGTGATGCATGTTCATTAGTCTCTGCGTTTTTAGATCTAATTCTTCTAATTCATTTTGAGTCCAATCTATTATTCCAGCTGGGCATCTAATTACTAGAACGGCCCACGGCTTTGATTGTTTCTCTACCATTTAATTTTGATTTTAAGATTTTCCACAGTCTTCTGATATATTCCCTTTCTGTCAGTTCTTTAATTTTTGTGTGCACAATGTTATCTGCTTCTAGTATTCCAAGGTATTTATAATTTTCATCACTTGGTCGTGATTTTATAATATTGTCATAAATGTTCTGTGGAACTTTTTGCATATAGTTTTAGGTAATTCATGTATAACAGATGATTGATATTTCCTGCTTGCTGGTAGCACAATCCAGTTTTATTGAAAATTATTGACATGGGGATTAGTGAGATATTAAACAGCAGTGGTTATAAAGAATCCCCCTGAAACATTCCTCTTTTGATGCATACTTCCGCAGTTTCTTCACCATGGGCCATTAAGACAGCTTTGTTGAGGTGAAGGGGCTTGCACGCTTTAGTGAAGTTGAGAGCTATGCTAAAGGGTCTCACCGAAAATTGAGGAATGATGAAATGTTGTTACGAGGAAACCCCAAAAGCGCATGGTATTAAAAAAGAATGATGGAAATTTGGAAAAAGAAACACCCAAGTAGTGACATAACTGAACAACGATTAATGAGCCAATGTATTCTCAAAGGCTTTCATGGCCGGGATCTGATGGTGGTTGTGGGTTTTTCGGCCTCTTTGGTCGTGTTCTGAAGGTTGTTCTTCCTGACATTTCGCCAGTCTTTGTGGCTGGCATCTTCAGAGGACTGGAGTGGGAACTCTGTCCATGCTCTGTTGCTGTTTGTTGGATAGTTGAGTATTTCTAGCTATGGGAACAGTTTTTGTCCTTTTCATGATATAGGGTGATCAGTGTGTTTTTGTTGTGATAAGGGGGGAGAAATTTCTGTCGCTGTGATTGATGGGTGTCATTAGCTGGTCTTTTTTGTGCAATGATCCCTGGTCCTTGTGGCTGAGTAGAGTTCGTTGACCTTTTGCAGGCTGCATTATTCAGTATTGGAAGCCAGGCCTTGTTTAGTTTTAGGCCACCTTCTTTTTTGTTGATATTTATGGATTTCAGTGGCTTCCCTGTGCAGTCTAACATAATGATTGCTGGTGTTGTCCGGTACTTCTGTGTTTTGAAATAGAATTTCACGTCCAGCTTGTTTTAGGGCATGTTCAGCTACTGCTGATTTTTCCGGTTGTTTTAGTCTGCAGTGTCTCTCATGTTCTTTGATTCTGGTGTGAATGCTGCGTTTTGTGGTTCCAATATATACCTGTCCACAACTGTAAGGTATCCGGTATACTCCTGCAGTGGTGAGGGGGTCCCCCTTTTGTCCTTTGCTGACCGTAACATTTGTTGTATTTTTGTGGTGTGTCTGAATACTGTTTGTAGGTTGTGTTTTTTCAAAAGTTTCCCCATGCGGTCCATGACCCCTTTGATTAGCAACTTAAAACACTTGAAAGATTTGAAACATAAAAATGAAAAAGCAAAAGCCAGCCTATGCAGAATATATGACCTAGAAAGGAAAATAATAGTTGAAATGATGGAAGAATTAAAACAGTGAGTAACAGCTACAGCAAAGAAAATTGAAAGATATGATGGACGCTTGAAACAATATAGAGAAATATGCAATTTCAAAATTTCAAAATAACCAACAGTTATTCTATACATCACTATGAGAAAAGCAAAAGAAATTAGACCCATGTAGAGATGATCCTTTAAAATTTTGGAAGGACATGTGGGAAAGCCCAACACAATAACACAAGCACCTCGTGGATTAAAGACATTTGTAAAGAAGCTCAAGGAGAACAAATGGATGGTATTGTAATAATAAATGAAATGATCAAGAGCCAAGTAAAGGCTATGAAAAATTGGAGTACATCCTGTCCAGATGAGTTTCATGGATTTTGATTACAATATTTAGCAAGTCTCCAGCAATGTATAGCAGTGCAATTTAATCACTTACTTCAAAATTCTACAACTGAAGTTTGGATGACAATAGGCCACACATTTCTGATAATAAAAAATCATCAAAAATTATTAGTTTGTTTTATTTATTATTATTGAATTTTTATTGCCAAGAAGAAAGAGCGGCACTTCTGGGATTTGATTTGGCCAGCTTTGGATACTAGATGTGCTTTGATTTGATATGTGGGGGTTATAGTTCCAGGAGGCATCTTTTTCCAACTTGGGTGGAGAAACACTAATTAACCCCATAGTTCATTTGGTTGCTTGTTCTTTCTATTGGTTTTGGAGGTGTGAAAATATATCTGACTTGTGAAGTTGACACTAACAACAAAACATAGAATAGCTCCTATTGTAGATTACTACATTACACCTTTTGTGGAATGTTTAGCTGTTTTTACTGCACCAGTATGAAAATTAAACGAAGTCTGTATCTGTTGCTTTATTTAAAGTAAGATGTTTGCTTTCTTAAATTTCCCCATGGCAGCCTTTTCAGATCTAACATGTGGAAATATTAAATCCTTTCCAGTACTGCAGGTTCCACATTGCAGCTGTTTCTTTTTAAAAGAAGGTTTGGATGATAAAGGTCTTCCAGCTAAAACATTTTCTGCTGTTTGTCACCAGGTATCTTGCCAGTGTACCACAACATGTTTGCACTAATGAATCAGACAGACAGATTCTTTTATCCTCCAAATCACACCTTCCAAATAGATGGATCAACCACTCTCACTGTACTTTACCGATTAAGGTAAATGTATTTTTTTTTTGAAAAAAATCTAAATGGGCATATGGTAATTCAAGATCTTTAATATTGTACAGTTTTTGTTTTCATTTAATTGTTAGAGATGTTTGTAATTGGAATAATGCTGTTGACCTCATTTCATTGTCATTGTCCCTTAAATATTAAATTAAATTATTTATATAATTCTTGTAATGGAACAGAAATAATAGAGCCACACTAAAATGAGAGAAAGAGGAGTATGTGTTGTACCTGCTAATACTGAAATGGAATATAATGTTGTAGTAAATCATTTGAGGGTTTTTTTTCTTTACATATTTTCTGTGTATTATGGACTCAGAAATAAATGATTTGATATCTATCACTGGCTTATGTTGCTACCTCAGTAGACCAGTTCTTCCGTCCATGAATGGCATATAGTTGAAAACTTGTAATTTCTGTTGTTGCAGAACCAGTTTCCTAGCAACCAAGCCATCTCTCCTTGTCTATATAATGTAACTACTTTGCAGATGTATTAGAATGTAAAATAGATGCAAATTAATGCTTGCAGTTGCTCCAGGCTAAAAAAAAGTTACAGTTCTGTGATCCATCTTGTACCATCAGCATAAAGCAGATTCTTTCATAGTTTTGTCAGTTGCTTCTGTGAGAACAAAACTGTCCTTTATTCATGATACTTTTTCTTCAATCCATGTCACACATCCAGGTACACTTCTCATTCATGAACATAAGCATCACGCCCAGTATATGTCTCCAAAGAACTTTTACCTTTTGTTCTCCCATTCAAACCAAGGATTTCTGAACACAGGCTTTAGGAGAAAACATAAAGCAAATGCTGTCTGAGACATTGTACTACTATACACAGTAGGGTGCCCTAAATCACTGGTTCTTAACCTTTGTTACTCAGATGTTTTTGGACTGCAACTCCCAGAAGCCTTCACCATCAGCTCGCTGGCTGAGGTTTCTGGGAGTCACAGTTCAAAAAAACCTGAGTAACAAAGGTTAGGAACCACTGCCCTAAATAGTGTCTGTTGTTCTAGAAGTGTTGCTACGGACAGTAGGAGTCTCTGTCATCTGGCATAGCATTTCTGCAAATCTTCTAGAGCAGGGGTCCCCAACCCCTGGTTCGCGGCCCGGTGCCGGTCCATGGGCTTGCCATGGTTGGGCCGCGGAGATGGATCTCCACCCCTCTGCCCACATGCACGGTGGGCATGTCGCGCTTGTGGGGGTGGTGGCCCCCATGCATGGAGCCCACCACCTCAACCGGTCCATGGTCCCAAAAAGGTTGGGGACCGCTGTTCTAGAGGACCAAATTCTTGAGTCTTCTACACCAGGGGTCCCCAACCCCTGGTCCACGGCCCGGTGCTGGTCCATGGGCTTCCTTAAACTGGGCCGTGGACACGGCTCTCCCACGCACGCGCAGTGGACGTGTCGCGCTTGTGGAGGGGCATGTTGCACTTGTGGGTGGGCATGTTGCACTCATGCACATGCCCGTGAGCACAGCACAGCATACCCCTCCACGAGAGCAGGGTTGCCCGGACCCTGCACCCCCCAACCGGTCCACGGTCCCAAAAAGGTTGGGGACTGCTGTTCTAGACTTTTTTAATTAGCACAATTCCAGTTCGTGGTAGTGTTGGCTATAATGAATGCATTTGGTGAAAACTGATGGACAAATTATTAAATAAATGATTAATAGATAATATGTGTTCTGCTGTTTTCCATTCAACTGCCTAAATGCTGAGTCTAGTAAAAATATTTTTAAAGAATCAAATGCATTCATGTTGGTACAGGTGATGTGATTGCTTGAGCTGATGCAATGGGCAACCAGAAGCTGGCCCTTCCAGGTTCCTAGTTTAAGGTGGGGAGAGAGAGAAGAAGCAAAGGGGGGCTTATGGGGATACCAGTTCCTCTCAATCAAGCACCATTTTGTTTTCAAATTTTTCAAACCCCCCCCCCCGGTTCTGCTGCTTGTATGATCACCTAGAGATAAAAGGAAGAAACTAGCAAGTGAGAAGATCACCAGAGAGGAGGACATTGACAGGCAGACCTTGTTTGCCGCTTATTAAGGCAACTTTGGAGCCTTAGGTGGTCTTCAACTAAAACTCCCAGAAATCTTTACCACTGGCTATGCTGGCCACGATTTCTGGGAATTGTAGTCCAAGAACAGCTGGAGACCCAAGGTTGGGAACCACTGAGGCAGCTGTATGGTAGCTGTGCCTACTACAAGTCTGGATAGGCACCATAGCTAGCTGCTAAGGAGTTCAGATTGGCCATTTGCTCCCTCTGCTGATTCATATGTGATCCGCTAAAGTGAATTCATCTAGAGAAACCCAGGTTCCCTGGTGCAACTTCAGTTCACATTTTTTCTTCCTGTGCAGTCGCACCTTAAATCAAATTACTGCTTGAACACTGAATCTGAGCTGGTCTGTGTTGTTTGGATTGTCTTTCATTCTATATTATTCATTCTGCCTCATGAATTCTGTATATAGAAGAAATCTGTGAATTCAATGGCAAAAGGAATGTGCTTTTAGTCCCAGTTTTGTTTACAAGGAGACTTAATTGTAGTAATTTCATTGTTCTACGAATAGTGGCCTTTTGTGTGAAAACACAGATAACATGACAATGTTTCCTAACAGGTTTTATTTCCCACACTGGTATTGTAATGGCACCATGCGAGCATACCGGTACGGTGTTTCCCGAGGTGCTGAGAGTCCTATCCTTGATGATATCATCATGTCTTATTTGTTTGCTCAGGTAAAATGTAATGATTTTATTATTTGTGTCTAGATGTGGTTGCTTCCCTGCCTTTCTTCATTATTTTACCACACTGTGAACAATTTGACAGGAATACTAGGCTATCATCAGATGAAACGGAAAAATACAAACAAAAACCAAACAAACCACAAGATGCTTGAGCACAGGACAAAATGTTCAAGCACAGTGAGATCTAGGGTGATTCTTGGTCTCCCAGACATCTATTTACTGCATGGTTTAGTAGATCTAGTTAAAACTGTTCCAAATTATAATAATAAAAATAAATGAAAAAGGCAAATCACAAACATTCAGCTTGGCTTCTCTGGCTTCTTTTTGCTTCCAGTGGCGAGAAGATTTTGTCCATGGGTGGGTAAAGATGGCTGTTACTCATGAGACACAAGAAGAATGTCTTGGGATGGCTGTTCTTGACATAATGAGAATGGCCAAAGAAAAGGACCAAACTCCATTAGCCATCTACAGTTCTGTGAGGTAATTGGTAGTGGTGGTGGTTGTAACAGAAATGTCTGTCTGTCCTTCTTTTAAAAGACTACATATGGGAATATTGTTTGGGGGGATCAAACTGTCCGAATCATTTCAACCTAGATTGCAGCTGGCATGTAAACATTTGATGTCAAAGGAGGATACTAGGGCATCTAAAGGTAGTAAAATCCCATAATAAGAGATGGTGAGATATGGGAGGGACTCAAAGTTGTGTAATTCCCATTTGTTTCTTACCCAGACTCTTCTACCCAAAGTGTATTAATTGTTTTCCACAGTCTTTAGCGTTAAACATGCACAAGAGTTAGAAAAGAAATCAAATCTCAACCTCTCAGCTGTCCTTTGCAGATAGCTGAGATTTTTTACTGTGTTTCCCAAAGTTGTAGTTGCTTGAACAAAAAGTACTTTGGGCAATTCCTTTTGCAATCTCCTATGGCAGACACTATGCTGTTGCAGATATTTTTATTCATCTTGTCTTTCACTTACATTATTTAAGAATCTGGAAGTGTTTTTAACATGCTTTTTGTGCCTTGTGTCAATATATTGCCACTTACTTGATTTTTTTTTACAGCTACAAAATGTTTTTGCCCAAGTGTATCAGAGAAAAAATCCAAGATTATCACATTCTGACACGAAAGAGAATAAGATACAGGTTCCGCAAGTTTATTCAGCAGTTTGGCCAGTGCAAAGCAACTGCTAGAAACCTGAAACTGAAGTATCTCATAAATTTGGAAACTCTCCAGTCTGCCTTCTACTCAGAAGTATTTGAAGTGAAGGAACCTGGCAGAGAATCTTCAGGCGAAAACTGCTTTGCAACCATTGTTATAAGTGGAAACGGTGGAATTCAGTGCTCCAGAGGGAGACTTAAAGACAGTGAAATACTGTCAGAGCAGGTAATTTCTAGGATGGGTCTAACTATTTTGATTATGCTGGCTAGTGCTGATATTTAAATTAATCCATAATTTTAAATTGTATTTGTTAATGATAGCACCATTATTTAATGCCTGGAAAGCTCCTTGTCTCAAAAAGCAAACAAGACTTTAGTAATTCCAGATGGCTTGAAACAGGCTCAAAGTCTGCTGTGGTTCACCGTAGTCTCTGCAGTTACTCACAAATAAGTGGAAGTCAACAGTTTCTTCTGAAATTTCAAGGCATATGGAGTAGGCTGTCTTGTCCAGCTGTATTTGTTTGGAAACTCTGCCTGCATTCTGTTCTGTTGCATTTTGAGTTTGGCAGCTTCCAGTCAATTTTTGAAATACTGTAACCAAGAATTTAGTTTCCAAATATGAATATAAGGGCCTAGATCTAACTTACCGTATTTTTCGCACCATAAGACGTACTTTTTTCCCACAAAACGGGGGTGGAAAGTCTGTGTGTCTTATGGAGCGAAGAAAACAGATTATATTTTCCTGTTTTCTTCTCCTAAAAAATTGGTGCGTCTTATGGAAAGGTGCGTCTTATGGAGCGAAAAATACGATAATAATCATGGTAACTTCCAGATTTCAGCCTTTCTTCCTCAGCTGACAGCCCATTGCAGCACTACAAAGCTCTGGAGTTCTTTGGAGTAGGTTTTAAGATTGGCGCAGAAGGGGAGCCACAGGAAAAGGCAGCACAGCACTCCTGCCGGGTATCTGTGCGAAAATTGGTTTTACAAATCCACTGAGAGTTTGGGATACTGGCCTTAAATATTTTGGTTGTTAAATAACTGATTTTTAAAAATGTGTTGGTCATTTTTTTCTGTTCATGGTATTACTGTTTTAGGATATATAATTTTCTCAAAATGTAGTGTTACAGTAACATTGTCTGAAATCCAGTGTAACTGCTGCTGATGTCAAGCCATAATGTTACTATTTAATTTAATTTAAGCTTCTTATCCCCCTCCCCCACAGGTTTCAAATTCTGAAAATCCTTAAGGATACCTTCTGACCTGAGGAAATCTTTGGGAGCCTTTGGGACTGGGAGTAGGACCAGGGGCTTTAATATTAGAAAATCATCATCAGATTGTTGCCAGAGGTCCCAATCCCAGGGGCAATTATCCAGCAGTGATTTTCCAATATTAAAGGCTCCCTCTAACTTCCTCAGGCCCCAAAAAACTTTCCAAGATCAAAAGGGATCCCCAGAGACCCTCAAGCTGTAGGGGAAGGGGAATAGGAGTGGGATCATGGACGATGAAATCGTTTCCATTTATACCCAAGTAATCAACAGAATGGGACATGGTGGCGCTGCGGGTTAAACTGCAGAAGCATCTGTGCTGCAAGGTCAGAAGACCAGCAGTCATAAGATCGAACCCACGTGATGGAGTGAGCTCCTTTCGCTTGTCCCAGCTCCTGCCAACCTAGCAGTTCAAAAGCATGCAAATGCAAGTAGATAAATAGGTACCACCATGGGAAAGTAAAGGCGTTCCGTTTCTAGCCGCGCTGGCCACGTGACCATGGAAACTGTCTTTGGACAAACGCAGGCTTTACGGCTTGGAAACAGGGATGAGCACCGTGCCCTAGAGTCAGACACGACTGGGCTAAATGTCAAGGGAAACCTTTACCTTTACCTAATGAACAGAATCCAATCAATAAGTGTTTAATATAACATTAAAATTTGGTTCATTCAATGACTTCTGAAAGGCAACTTAAATGTTGAAACCTAAATGGGTCTCTTAACAAATCAACATATTTCTGCAGGACATACAGACCTACTGTGATTTTCCTGAAATTATTGATGTCAGTATTAAGCAAGCCAACCAAGAAGGTTCCGGTGAAAGCAGAATTGTAACCATTCACAGACAAGATAGCAAGAATCTGGTATAGTGGCTCACTTTTTTGGTTACCATTTGTTTGTATATATTTCTTCACTAAAGAAATTGGATTGGGTATTTTGTAGTGTTTCCATTATTTGGTAAGTATTGTGTCTGCAGCATTGGGCAATCATTTGGAACATCTTGGGGGTTTAATAGACTCCAGCAACAGTTGTGTGTTCACGTGTATATGCCACGTCATAGTGCTTTTCTCCTGCAAAATTCATATAGTAAATCATTAAACTAGGGTAAGCTATTGTTTTTTGCACATGCTCAGATTGGGTGGCCTATTAAGTTCACATGCTCCATTGGGTGCCCCTCCTTTCAAAGGAAGGTAATAACATATTTTTGAGATGTCACATACACTTGAACTCTGTGTCTCCCTGTGCAGTCACTGTTTTCTATCCGTGTTGATGCATATCAGGGGAACATACAGTCCAGTAGTTCTTTACATTGCTGTTTGGTGAGTGAGAATAGTTCTGTTTGAACAGGTATTGTTAAATGTCTGAGATCCATGGTTGTGCCTCTTTCCCCATAGGATGGGGCACTTTTTAGATTTGATGAAAGACAGTATTTTCCCTCCAATTTTCTTTGAAACTTTTACTAGAAGTCCAGTGTACAACTTAGAGAATTTTATGTCTATAAACCCCATATATTGAGCGAGTACAATTAAACAGTAGAGTACAAATCACATTTAATTCAGAAATATTTCAGTCACAGATACCGGAGTTAATTCAGATTTCAGTATTAATAATTTGCATAATTCCGATGCTTGAAGAGAACTGTAGAGCTCATTAATTACATGTGCTTTGGAATGACTGCAGAATTCTGACACTTGGTGGTATCTGAATAGGGCCTTGTTCCTGAAGTGCATCTAGGTTTTTGTTACGAGGTTTGGCCACCAAGTCCAAACATGGCTACCCTTACTGGCAACAGCTCTCCCATATCATAGCCAGTGATTCCATTCCAGTGTCATTCCACTGGTGTTGATGGACTTTGGGTTCCACCAATCCTGTCAAGATGTTCAGATGTCCCAGCCTTCTGGGAGCATTAAGTATCTCATAAACAATGTGTGCACTGCATACCTTTTTTAAATGGCAGACTCCAGTTATTATGGCCAAATCGTTGTGGTGGTATCAAGGACTTCAACACCTAGCTTGGGTTATATGCAACCCACTTTCTCTGTGCATTCATTTGCATCTTTTTTTATCTTGTTCTGTGAGTAGATTTTAATATTAAACTATGATTATTATACATATTTTTGTCTAGATTTCAGATGTGTTCTGTCCTGAACTTTCTTAAATGTATTCTTTTAACAACTGTTATAAGATCATTAACACTTTTATTATTTCAAATGTCTGTATCTTTGTAATGCTCAGTTTGACACTAATCTGTAGAGTTATTTATTTGAAATTTGACCTGTATTTTGACCCAGATCACTCTTTTGTTCAGTGAAATTTGGAAACATAGACAAAGGCTTGCATTCACTGTATATAAAGCCTTTCCAAAGTCTTAGTATCTTAACATGTAAGCATCATAGTACTTTTTCGAAATAGAATAGCTTAATTCCCTCTTCAAATATAATTGTTAAGGAAATCCACTGATTACACATTTTAGTGATCTTAGAGAGATCTTAGAAGATCTTAATACAAATAAAAAGGATAAAAGGGTCAGTCAGTGGATGCATATGCTATTCATGCGTATTATATCATTAAAGTATAATATGTCTCACCATCTTTTCCTGTCTTCTCCTATTCTTTTTGCAGGAAGCTGAATTTCATTCATTAAGAGATGCCCTTTCCTTTGTTTCATTAATTGATGAATATTACAGATTAACTGCAGATGCTCACCATTATCTATGTAAAGAAGTAGCACCTCCCTCAGTTCTTGAAAATATCCAGAGCAATTGTCATGGTCCAATTTCGTGAGTGACACTTACTTTGTCCTGACATTTTATGAGCCTTTGAGAGGGATTTTTCTTTGTAGTATGTACAACTTTTGTGAGGGCAGTGTCTTTGCTCAAGTAAGAGGAACTGGTATTCAGAAAGCAATCTTTAACGTATGTAGCCAGTCCAAATTTGTACAGTCGTGCCCCGCAAGATGATGTTAATTCGTTCCACGAAAATTGCTGTCTTGCGAAATGCGGTTCCCCATTGGAATGCATTGAAATCCATTTAATGCGTTCCAATGGGGGAAAATAGTCAGCGTTTTGCGAAAATTGGCCATAGGAAAACCATTTTGCGAAGCGCGGATCAGCTGTTAAAGTCGCTGTCTTGCGAAAAACAGTCCTGAAAACACCCGTTTTGCGAGTCGCAGACCAAGCTCTCAAAATCGTTGTCTTGCAAAAAACAGTCCCCCCAAAAAAACCCGTCTTATGAAGCATGGACCAAAACATCGTCCAGCGAAAATCGCCCATAGGAAGCACCTTTTTGCAAAGCGCTATAGTGATCACAAAAACTCATCGTCTAGCGAATAAACTGTTTTGCGAGGTAATAGTCTAATAGGGCACCACTGTACCTGGATGTGTTTTCTGTTCGAATGGCATTTGGACTCCATTTTGAACTGTCTCGATGGGCATTACTGCTCATTCCCATCCTGAGTAATTGGTTTTTGTATGGAGCTGTTGCCTGAGTTAATTAGATTTCTAATATATAATGCTTTATCCTCTTTATTTATCTGGTAATTATCTGGATTTTTGATATAATGTATGTGAAAATCTTTTCTGTAAGAGATTTTTGTTCGTTTGATTCAACTGCAAAACTTAATGCAAATTTAAAAATGTTTTCTTTCATTCTCAGTTCAATTCTGAGTCAGTAAAGTAGTAAATGGATAATAATGAATGTAAGGGCTCCCGGTCTTAACCATGGTGTTGGTGTATGATGTCATAAGCAGAGGGTACCTTAATTTGTTCACTGTACATTCTGGCAAAATTAGAATTAAAACTTTGAAGAAAGCAAAGGCAATTCAGCTATCTGTTTCTTGAATGATTATGGGGAAATAGAAGATTGCTAGCAGAGGAAATTGCTTTTGGAACAAATGTTTCTTTTTAACATTTTTGTAAAGATGTGGTGGAAAGGATGATTTCAGGTTGTGGAGGTTTTCCCAGTACCTTTGAATAGTATTTCCTTGTTCTGAAGAGCTAAGTGTGTTGTGCGCTTCAGTGAAGGAAGCCATGAGTAGCAAAATGAAGTGAATTTCATGGGAAAGATTTTAGATGGCTTTCTTTGAGAAAATGCCAGAGGGCAGTCTTTTTCTTTAAGAAAATATCTCCTCTTGGTGGAAGACAGAATTTGTTTCTGACTTCATTGCAACAGGGATCTCTACATTGACACCACAAGGCCAAGCCTGACTTATGAGTTCCTCTGTGCTCTGTTTTCTAATTTATGTTATTCATTTATGTTACTTGGTCTTGACCCCTCCCCCAAAGTGCGGTCCCTCCCCCCAATTTAAGTACTAAACAACAGGGGTAGGAAAAGAATCCTGTTGGTGCTCCTCTGTTATGAAAGGCATGTGCCAAGTGGATTGGCGAGAAGTGGCTTTCTTATCTCACTTTTGATCCGTACTTTTCCTCTTGGTTACACAGATAAACTTTTAGTCCCCTAACTTCTGTTGATGTCAGACGTTTTGAACCAAACAAATCTCATCTCCAGGGTAAAAAGGAAAAGAAACATAGGTAGGAGCTGTGCTGAGTTGGACCAAAGGCCTATCCATACACATTTCGTTCTTATAGTAACCAAATTGATGAGTGCAAGACATTAGCAATACCATCTTCCTAGTCATGTTTCCCAGCAACCTGCCACGTAGGCAGCCTCCGTCTGGTACTGGAATGTATTTGAATCATAATGAGTAGTAGCCTTATCTTCTGGGTTCTTCTATTATGAGAAAAGAAAAAAATCCACAAACAGGCTATGGCTTTTTTCATCCCACCTGCGTCTAGGGAGGCCATGAATTGATGAACAACTTTAAACATGTACAGTCAACCCTCGATTTACGAACTTAATCCGTTCCGGACGTCAGTTTGTAAATTGGAAAGTTCGTAAATCGAGCCAGCATTTCCCATAGGAATGCATTGGAAACCAATTAATCCGTTCCGGCCGAAGTCCTCCCATGGAAAAGCAAGCCAGGTGGCTGGGAAGAAATCGGCTCCCT